GCATGGGATGTCCCAGTGGCATCACACGCGAGAGGTGGAATTTGCCCCTACGAGTACAAGGCCACCACCCCGGGGCTCAGGGAGGCGGGGGAACGTTTTGCCTCCCACCCACCATGTCCCAACTGATGGCTGGTGGGAGCAGGGGGCGGGGCTTATGTGCCCTCCCCCTGGGCTCCTGACTGGCGGAGCGGTACTCCGGTGTGCTCCGGCAGGAACCGAGGCCTGCTGCTCAGTATTAATTCATGGCTGCGGTTCCTGGAACTGACAATATAACACCAGAATCTACTTTTTTAAAAATGCTACGGTGACATCTAAAGTTGGGACTTCCAGTCTCCCCACCAACTGGAACAAGCAGAGATATAGTACACATAATCAGGACAAATGCAGCACACGACACCCTGCAGAAGAAGCCATCTGTCTGGCCTATGTTCTTCCAAGAGCCTATTTCCTTTCTAGGAAAAAGGATTCAAAAAATAAAATAAATATGGCGATGTATAAATAAACTTTCTCCAGATGCTGAGAGAACACAGAGAATGCATGATGAAGCTTGCCATTTGATTTCCATTAGTTCTCCTGAACAAGGCTCTATGAAGCTGTATGACTGACAGAAATCCAGCGGGTATGGTCTTTTCCCCTCTCTGCATCTCTGTGATAGAAAGGCTATACCTATTGAATTTGAAGACACAGGAAAAAATTACTGGCACAGTGGAAATAATCCAGTGTCATCTTCTGCTGGCAGAAAGGCGAGGTATGAATTTTGCTGGTTCTGTGTCCTAATTAATGATTACAGCCTAGTCTACTATTTTAAAGTGTGGGTGGGCATTCAATATTTACAAGAGGTAAAATTCCATCAAATATTTTGTCCATAAGCTTAGCACTGAAATAAGCAATTGCCAATAAAGAGCATCTAAACAGTCAGATGTCTTTCCTTTCTGTCAAGGAGGGACATCATTGGAAAAATAAATTACTCCTAAAAACATTTTCCTGGGAGTAGTAAGCCCCATTGAATAAAATTTATTTGGAGACATGCTTAGGCTTACTCCCAAACAGTACAATTTAACCATGTTTGCTCAGAAGTAGATCTCACTGAATTCAATGGGCCTTACTCCTTAATAAATGTGCAAACTGGCAATAGGATAGTAAACGTGCAGCCTGATCCTATGCATATTCACTTGGAAGTATATCCCAACGAGGTCAATGTGACTCCCAAATAAATGTGCTCGGAACTACACCCCGAAGTATTCTGTTGCATGCACACTCAGGAGTCCTATTGCAATCAGTGGGTCTTGCTTTCAAGAAACATGCATAGGGCCAGGCTGCATGTCTTGATGTTTCTTTGCAAATAAAATAACCCCATAGCATGAGAAGAGCATTAAACTTGATTTGAAGTGCTGTTTTAAACTGTTGTGTGTTTATCACTTGCCTTGAAAACCCCATGGGACTTGATGCCACTTTCCACCACCACTGCAGAATCCCGGAAATTTTTTTGGGGGGGGAGCAGAGCTTGGGGATGGGCGGTTGGGGGGGGGCAGGATCTCAGCAGGGTATATAGGGTTGCCAAGTCTGGGTTGGAAAATACCTGGAGACTTTGGGGGTGGGGCCAGGAGAGGGCATGGTTTGGGGAGGGGAGGGGCCTCAGCATGGTGCAATGCCATAGAGTCCACCCTTCAAAGCAGCCATTTTCTCCAGGGGAGCTGATCTCTTTCGGCTGGGGATCAGTTGTAAAAGCGGGAGATCCCCAGGCCCCACCTGGAGGCTGGCAACCCTAAGGGTATAATGCCATACCATCCACCTTGCAAAGCAGCGATTTTCTCCAGGGGAGAGAGCCAGTTAGGTGTAGTGGCTAAGATAATGGACTGGAGAACCAGGTTCGATTCCCTACTCCTCCACTTGAAGTCAGGTTGGGTGACCTTGGGTCAGTCACAGTTCTCTCAGCCCCCCAAAATAAACCTAGCTTGCCACAAAAGGAGCTAGAGTTTCAGGCTGCCAGACCGTCTTTGGTCTCCTGCCTATACTACACTCACTGCCATACGATAATTAATTAATCCTCCAGGGGAGCGGATCTCTGTAGTCTGGTTGTAATCCTGGGAGATCTCCAGGACAGAGGTTGGCACCCCTAATGCAGATACATGTGACAAGGAGCTAGAATTGTCTGTGGCTCCCTGGCATATACGGTGAAAAGAAGCACAAACACTGCAATCCTACACATATTCCTCGTTAAGTACGTAAGCACCTTTATTTGGGAGTAAGCGCTATTGATCTCCATGGAACTTACGCCTGTTTACAATGCACACGAGAGTGAGCCATGCGCTTAAAATCACAGCCAGAATCCAGGGACTCAAATGCCTTGCAAGTGCCACTGAAATCAGAAATCAGTTTTAAGTAAACGTATTAGGACCGGGGTGTGTTCAGATCGTTGGGATCTAGACTAGTAAGGAGTGTTATGGGAGAGTGGCAGTTACGTTTTAAGAATTTCCTAGCAATCCTTGTAAGAAAAGCATGATGATTCATACTTGCCAAGTGTTTGGAAAGAGGACATGTCTAAACCCAATCCTGCTGCACCTCTTTTTCTGATGTCAGATCTGTATAAAACAGGTTAGTCTCTGCTGCTTAATGCACACTGAGAGACATGGGTAATTCTCCCCAGTAGGGATATCAGCATCCAGGTAGGACCTGGGGATCTCCCAGAAGCTCATCTCCAGACTACAGAGGTCAGTTCCCCTGGAGCAAATAGATGCTTTGGAGGTGGACTCTATGGCACTGTACCACACAGAGGCCTCTGTCCTCCTCAGCCCCCACCTCCAAATATCCAGGAGTTTCCCAATCTGGAGCTGGCAACCCTACCCCCATCCTCTGACGGGGACAGGACTTTGCAACCCTACTTCCCAGCCAGGGGGATCGTTGAAAAATAATGAACACAATGCATTCCAAATACTGAGAATGTAGCCATGTGAAGAAGCACCAGTTCTAACCTTTGTTCCCTGTTTCCACCTGGCTTTCCCCAAGTCCTGCTTCCAGCAATCTTCTTTTGTTAGCTGTCTTACACCCCTCAATTGCTTGGATCTGGTACTTCTGTCTGCTGTTTCATCTGCTCCTTATTTCCATCTTCGCTCCCTGGCCCTTGTTTTCTCTTGCTTCTCCAGGCTCCTACTCTCCTAGGACCTAAACTTTCTCTCCTTTTGACGGTTGATCTCTATTTTCACCCCTTCTCATTTTCTAAGCTGTGAGCTTCCTTCATCTTTCTGAATTCTGGCTGAACCATGTGCTGTATCCGTATAAAAATTAGTACCCACTGGCCTCTTCAAATGTTGTTAAGGTCCTTATGGCTTTGCAGATAACAATTATCAGACCGGCGGAGCAGTAACAGATAGCAGGCAAAATAGCCTCAAGGAGATGTCCCATCCATAGGCCCTCCAGGCTGCGTTCTCAGATAGCCTCGGTGAGAGATAACTGTCATGATCCTCCGCTGAGGCAATTCCTCTGGGAACGGTGAATCAGTCAGAGCTTAAGTCCCCAGAGACTAGTGGAAAAAAATTAGACAGAGAAACAAGGGTGTAGACTTTCCAATTTCCCGGGGGGGGCTGGGGCTCGACCAGAGGCATTGCTTTGCTAGGAGCAAGGGTGGCTCCCGGGGGAGGCTGAGTACCTTCCTGAAAATTTCGGCGGGGGCTCACGCCCCGCCGCCCCCACGAAGATTACGCCTATGCAGAGAAATAATTCAGTGGTTTGAGTAGGAAGACTGGTGTCCTTGAAGTAAAATGTATTGCTATGTACTTAGTGGTCTCTCAGATTAGACCTTCTTTTTAAACAAAACACTATGTTTTTGTCACATCTAGGGGGGTCTGCCCAATATATTCAGAGGGTAGCCATGCTGGTCTCTAGCAGAAGAGCTAGATTCGAGTCCAGTAGCACCTTAGCGACCAAAAACATTTTTTTGGGGGTATAAGCTCTCCAGAGTCAAAGCTCCCTTCATCAGATACCTGATATTTGACAAAGGGAGCTTTGACTCTCGAAAGCTTATAACCCCCCAAAATCTTGTTGGTTTCTAAGGTGTTACTGGGTCTCGAGTCTAGCCCAATATATTCCAGTCCTTTCCTCTTAATCCACAGTGTCAGAGACCAGTGTGTATGGTCTTGTGGAAGTGGGAAACACACTCTGCACACACTCAGAGAAACCTCTCCTTTTTCTCAAAAATACTTCAGCGGTTCAGGGCTGAATTTCCCCCTTATTAATAAATACTTCTAGCAGCCCCTAGTTTTTTTTTTAAAAAAGAAGCCAGGGTAACTTTTATCACGACCAAGAAAGGGCCCGTCAGGCAATCTCCTCCCTGAATGTCCCTCAGGAGACAGAACGGGACGAGACTCCTGCCGGTCCCTTTCCCCTGACTGGTCTGTCAGAGCTGTCAGAGCCCCGCCAGGTGCCCGTCAGCCGTTATTCTCCCCCCACCCGCACCCCCAGCCGAGAGCGGGCAGAGGGCAGCGCGCGCCACGGGAGCTGGGCGTGGCGTCCCTCCTGTCACTCTCCTCTTACGTCCAAAGGAGCGAGGCGGGAAGGGGGGGCGTGCGTGTCGGCGATCGATCCTCTCTCTCCCGATAGGCGGAAAGGAGGGCGAGGAGGCGGGGCCTCCCAGACCGGTGCGCCTGCGCAGTCTCGCCGCCAGCCCCCTCCCCCCCCCTCGCTTGTTTCGGCGAGAGGCGCCGCCGGGGTCGGTCGCGTCGCTGCCGCGTTCCTGGAGTGAAGCGAGCGATGGGAGCGGGTGCGTGAGCCCGCCCAGCCCTTGCCGGAGAAGGATGCCGCGGCTGCCCGGAGCCTCCTTGAGGCGGCGCGGGGAGGGGCTCTGACTGGCTGGCTCGTCCCGAGACCGCCGCAGGAGAAGCGAAACCAGGGAGCGGCCGCGCCGAGGAGGCGCAGGAGGGGAGAGGAGCCCGTGCCCGAGAGGCGGCCGCGCCGAGGCTCCATGAGCAGCAGCAGCAGCGCCTCCTCCTCCTCGTCCTCCTCGCCGGCCGCTCCTCTTGGGGCCGGCGGGCTCGGCGGCTTGGGCGGCCCGCCTGGGGCTCCAGCCGAAGCCGACACCGCGGCGGCCCCTCAGCGGCACCGGCTGCTGCTGCCTCGTCCTCCGACGCCGGCCCGGCAGCAGTGGCAGTGTCGGGATCGCCGGGGACGGACTGTGGGGTTTCTCCCGGGCGCTGGGCACCCACCCCAAGAAGGAGCCCATGGAGACGCTCAACACGGCGCAGGGAGCCCGCGACTTCATCTACAGCCTGCACGCCGCCGAGCGGAGCTGCCTGCTGCGGGAGCTGCACCGGTTCGAGTCCATCGCCATCGCCCAAGGTAAGGCGACAAGAGAGGGGTCTGGGGACCTCTTGAGCCTCCCTCCTTCCCTCCCTCCTGGCCAAGCTGGACTCGGAAGCCTTCCGTCTCGCAAGCTGGATGGAGCGATAAAGCAAAACGGGCACCGGAGTTCAGCGGGCTCCTCCTCTTCTTGAATCTTCGGTTGGGGGAAAAAAAAAACTTAGCAAGAGTTTAGCAAAGATTTGAGGACTGCAAATAGCAGGATATTCAAATCGGGGAGGCACTAAAGGTTCAGCTTGCTTCCTTTTTTGTGTGTGTGTCCTGCTGCTTAAAGGTAATGTGGCTCACCACCTGGAGTTAGGAGTCCAGTAGCGCCCTTTAAAGACTACCGAAATTTGGGGCGGGGTAGGAGCTTTCGTGAGCCGCTTCTGTAAGTCGCTTCTGAGCAGTGACGTGACTCACGAGAGCTTCTACCCTGCCACAGATTTTATTAGTCTTTAAGGTGCTGCTGGATTCTTGCTCTGTTTTAATGCCAGGGACAGATAAACAGGGCTACCCATCTTCATCTGGAGTTAGTACAATATAGGTACCTGATTTCCTTCCCCACCTGGGATAGGTTTAAATCTCTTGGGGGGGGGATTTTCCCATTGTGGTGTGGAGCGGGAGAATTTTTTTTTTTAAAGGAATAACCCAAATCGATTCTTCTCGTTTTCTCTGTGACAGTGTCTTTTAAGGACTAAATTATAGGTATAGATTCCCAGTCACGGGACTCCAGAGTCACGTGTGGTTTAGTCATCAGAGCTGAAGACAGAGCTGGTTTCTCTTGGGTCATGAGAAGCATCAGTTCAATCAGGCTTGATGGGGCTAAACTTCAAGCTAAGTGCACTTTCGTTCCTGGCTGTCGGTTGGCTTTCACTTAAGCTGGCACACAGTCCTGGAGTTATTTTCCTTGTTTTCTGTCAGTGCCAGGATGCAGCCCTTTGGAGACTGAGTGATCATGTCTCTTGACCAGTGTTCCCTCTAAGCTGAGTTAGTGTGAGCTAGCTCACAATTTTTTCGCCTCCAGCTCACACATTTTTGTCTTAGCTCAGGAAGGATGGCTCCAGAGCCAACTGATTTATGCAGTAGCTGAATCGCTCGCTCACAACTTTAATGCCAGTCGTTCACAAAGTAAAAATTTTGCTCACAAGACTCCACAGCTTAGAGGGAACATTGCTCTTGACTAATATTATATGGCTTTTCCTGGGCACTGAGTAACTGTTACCAATCTCTGTGTCTTTAGGGTTACAGAGAATAAGTCTGTCAAATTGTCTTGAGTCGGGTGTATTTTGCTCTGTACGCTGAACAGGAGTTGCTAGGGCCTTGGAATGCATGAACATAAAAGCAGCCCTGCTGGATTAAACCAGCCTCTTTAGGCCAGCATACTGTTACGCATAGTGGCCAAACCATTGCCAGGACGACCAACAAATAGGTTGTAGAGGTAAAGGCCGACTTCTGATTGGTGTACCGGTATTTGCTGTTTCGGTATATGGAGGTTCCTTTTACTCACCATGGCTAAAAGCCATGCAGTAGGGTTATATGATATAATAAGCCATCTTTGTGAATGTAGAAGAGATTTTTTTTTTTTCTTTCATTCACGGTCCTGTGCATAGTATTTAGAGAGCAGATGTTCCATGTCAAAAGATATGGTGTCCATATAGGAGCCTCAAGACCTAGGTAAGTAGCAGTCCTGGGTCTACAGTAGCCATGGGAAATCCGGTAGGTGTGGGTTGCCAGTCCATGGTAACGGTGTGTGTGGAGATGCATCAGCTTCAGTCCCCAGCTCCTCTACGTAAAAGGGTTGGGTATTAGGTGGCATGAACTATTCTTGCCTGTGGCCCTAGAGAGCTGCTCCGCTACCAGTCAGAGGAAACAGTACTGACCTTGACAGAACAACAGTCTGATTGTGAAGATAGTAATATTGTAATGCTGCCCTGTGGCTTTTAGCTTGTGACGGCAGTGTTGCTTTTCCGGCATTTGGAAAACTGTACTAAAAGCTCATTCCTACACAGGACTCACTACATTATTAAGACATGATCTGTCTCATATATTTTTGTTCCACCCTTCCTCCAGAGAATTTAGGGCAGTTTACATGAGTTCTCTGTTTATCCTCCCACCAGACCTGTTCAGTAGGTTAGGCTGAGAGGGAGGAAATGGCCCAAGGTCAGTTTCATGATCTAGTGGGGGTTCAGTTCAGATTTCCCAGGGTGTAGTCCAACAAGCTCTCTTCAGACTTGCACTTTAGTTGAATATTTTTATTTCTTTTCCCCCACACCACTTGGTAAGGTATCTTCACAGCATATGTTAGACCATTTCAAAGCAAGTTCAATTGTACCTTTTAGACTAATTGCTATTTTAAAAAAATATTAGACCATGAGTTTTCTTAGTTTATTTGCTTCATTAGATGCTAAATCTGTTTGCTAGGGTAGTTAGAGGAATGTTTATGTGTGACCATGGGTCGTTCATCAATAACAAGTATGCATGGGGAAATTAAAGGTGCAAAAATACTGTTGCAATGTGAGAAGAAACCAGGCTTTGTTTGGCAGTCAGGTTTCTGAATAGTTTATTTTATTGTTTTGCATTCCTTATAGCCACCCAAATAAAATTGTTTGAGAATGACCATTCTAAGCTTTCTTAGGGGCTACACTAAAATTTCTGCTGTGCTTAAGCCATGTTTTTGCAAATGTAACTGCCAGGTTCACTTTATTAAGAAAGCAAATGGCATGGGGAGGTGGAAAATTGAACCCCTTCCTCTTTTCCTGTTGGAAGCAGCATCCCCAAGTTGCTTTTACTCCCCTCTGGGCAAAGGGGATGTTGCTGGATCCTGGCTGACTGTCAAGTGTCTGTTTCCTTCTATTGGAAGCTTCTGTCAGTCTTCCACATCAGTTCTGCACAGTCCTCAGCTTGCAAGTTGTTTTTTGTTTCACTTGGACATGCATGGGGGTCTCTCTGCTGATTTAAAGAAAATGATGCCAGAGTGCTTGGCAGCTTTGCCTCCCAATCTTCATGACATCATAGTAGTTCAGCCAGTTGCTAGTAAAGGCTGCCAAGTATCAATTTACCTTGGATGTTGGGTGCTTCGTTTCTTCAGACTGAAAGAGTCACTGTTTTGGCTCAGAACTTTAACTTGAGTCTCCTTTTGTATTTCTGTGATCATGAACCAGGGATCAAAACTGGTTTATAATTACTGCCTTGTCATGTGTAATGCTTTACAACTGTTCCTAGAAAAAAAATTTTTTTCTCCAGCTGCCTGAAAAGTAGCACAACAGCATTGGTTTAAAAGATCACACAGTGTAATGATTCCTAATTTTGATTACCTAAAAACTGAACAGCTGCACTGTTCTTAGAATAGTTGGAGTATGTGGGGAATCAGGTTTATTTTGTGGTTCTGCAAAAACAGCATATTAAAATATACCCTGACGGCAGTGATTCAGAACAAGAATTTTAATTACACAAGTAACAAAGCTGTTGTTAATTTTGAAATGATGCATTGTCTTCATTTGGAAGCCATGTTCGAAACTTTGCCAGAATACACTACTTCCTTTTAATAATACTTTAGCAGATCTGTGGAAGCTGCAAGATTTAGTTCCTTGCTTATTCAGACTTGTAAAAGGCAGTGCGTACACACATATGCAGAGTGCCCCTCAAACTATCTGGCCCAAGTTGCCAGCCATTACTCATTATCCCCGCCACCTCCCCCTTCCCGTCAGCCAAGCTCTTGGGCACATGGCCAAGGATTTGTAGTGAAACAAGATTAGTTTTTTCACTTCATACCAGCCCTTAGACACTTAGAAGCAGCAAGAAATTCTTGCTAGTTCAATGTATCTGATGAAGTGTGCATGCACATGGAAGCTTATACCCAGAACTGAACTTTGTTGGTCTTAAAGTTGCCGTTGGACTCAAATTTTGTTCTGCTGCTAGTTCAGTGTGTGTCCAAAGTCTGCTGCGAAGTGAAACTTATCCCTTTTGTCATGCCAAGGGAACCTAGGGGAGGTGGGAATTCACTTCATGTATGTCATGAAGTGAGACCCTCCTCAAAATTTACCATGATGTATAACTAGCATTTGAAAGTGGTAGTGCCCTTTTGTTGTACATCCAAGTGCAACCCCCAAATTTATTGCTGTTACTGGCCACCTTGCAAATGGATTTGTGGACCCACGTATATGGTAACTTTTTGCCTGCGTTGCTTACGATTCCATTTATCATTGAAGGATCCTTTATCAGCACTACGCAAGTTCTAGGTAGGCAAGGTGGCTTTATTTCCCAAGCAGACTCATAATACGGTAATAACTCAAATTTACATGCTGCACTATCACCTGGAGCTATGTTTTGTATGTGAAGGAACAGGAAGTAGACCGCACTTAATGCTGTAATGACATAAAGGATCGAAAGAAGAGCATTGGTCCATCATATTGCTCAAGCTGACTGAAGTTGCTGAAGGTAGTCAATATTTTAAGAGTGGCATGATAGACCATTGTTTCCCATGACCTGGTGCTTTCTAAATATGGGGCCAAGGTGATATGTGTATCTTTTTAGGGATGTGAGAATGAGCACCCTGCTATAAAAATGGTGTGGGAGTAGTGAGGGGTTAGAGCCCTATCCAGGAACAAAGGGGGAAAACAAGGTGACAGGAATGAAATTAATCTCACTACATGGAGGCAGCTATTTAAAAAGCCTAATTTAAGAATAGCATAGAAGGAAACCAGGCAGAGGAGATTTTATGGCTTTTAAATTAAAAGATCACATATGATTGACAAGGTATCTGGGATGGCATGCTCAAAAAAGGTCTGTTGGTACTTCTGTGGAGAACTGGGCGAGCAGTACCTCACTGTTTTCCTGTGTTGTGGATCCAGGTAGGACATTTCACTGATCCCTAGTGTATCTATACTTCTCAGCTGTTACGATTATGCGATAATGGCTTTACTCATGTTTATTGTGAAGACCCAATTTAGGGACAAATAATTTCCTGACTTATCCTTGGTACGTTAACATGTTTCTAG